GCAGATATTAAGCAAAACCCCTACAAAGCCCTTCTCTTTAAGCCAATCAAAGATCTACTCCGCCCTGAACAATAACTGGCAAGACATTTATTTACAGCCACCAAACTGGATGTAAGACCCCTATCCTCAGTTTTGAGGTGGTCAAACATGAATTCTATAATGGTTAATGAAAAATTGACAGGCAGACTTTCTCTGGGCTCAGAAAATTGCTGAATCAGTAATTTATTTTATGTACTTACAAACAACCTTTTGTATGCCGTTTTCATGTTCAACCAATGCTTTGTTTGGAATGAGACATTGGCTCTCTTATGCTAATCATAATTGTAAATTGCTTTACATCTCTAACTTTTATATGACATAGCCATTTGTTTTGTTTACTTCTGTTAATCAGTGCACTTCTTCATTTCTCCTTTTATTCGAGGAACCACACATTCCTTTGACCTATATTGTATTTCTCTAGCTCAGGACTTGTTTGTACATTGGAATGCTAATGTCAATAAACACCATTGTAAAAGAAAATGTGGAATAGACTTCCTCAGGGACTAGTTCTAGCACTCTCCACTCATCAGTGCTGTATTCCCCTTCCTCCTAGGTTCAGTACCAGTGGTTCTCATGAGGGCAGAATAACATTCTGTCCATATCATGTAATCCTAGCATGTCACCTAGGGGGTGAGTATTCACACAGGCTGGGCTCATAGTACTCCAACAATAAACAGCGCTCACGTGCTTTAACCTGCAAGCACATATAGTTATTACTGAAATTTGGTCCTCAGTAGTGCTGCTGTTTGTATATGGTACTGTACATGTGTTGAGTAAAAAGTGATCAATGACGCCTGGTTTAAACTAAAAACAACCTATTTAAATAAACAGGAAATATATTTAGTTATTCAAGGGTAATCAAATCAATCCTTTTTTAGGCAGATTGGGCAACACTGTTATGTCTGGGCATTATCTGTACCAATTGCTAATGTTCTACCTTGCGACTGAGAGTACCTACCAAGTTAATAAATTGGTCTGGTGCTAGTGTGTCCTAGGATTGGTTGGATCATGCTTGAATGAACAGCCATCCTCCAGAGTCTATAGACATCTTAAAATTGACCCTACATGGCCCAATGCTGGCAAGCAATGCAGTTAATTCAATATAGGAGTTGAGAGATAAATACCAAGGATTAATAGGCCTTTGCCATCGGAATACATACTTTTTCCAATTTTTTTTATAAAAAAAAGATAACTGCACCATCACTGTGCATGTATCAAAAGGTACCTTTCATCAAATCAAGAACTATCAATAGCAGGACACAATGGTGCAGAGATTAGAACAAACATGAGCAGATATCTTATGCCTAGTCACTATAAGTATGAGATCTGCCATTGTGTGACCATTTTTTTTAGTATTAAATGAAGTAATTTCTGGTAAAGCATCACAAAGATTCTTCACATAGATGGAACCTGGTTATTGTTTGTTATAAGGCTTCAGACAGAGGATGAGGGAATGTTTGTGGTTGCGGCAGACTGCCTCATCATCTAGGAAATAGCCTTGTTCTCTCTGGCTTAAAACCCTATATTTAGCAGTAGCATCATACTTTTATGTTCTCCAAGCTAAACATAGCTGTGCCAGGGTGGAGCCCAGGATGAAGCAGGAAACGTGCATCAGTCACTTTCCCAACATACAGTTTAATGTGGGAATGTGCTGGTCTAAGTCTAAATTCTCTCTAAACTATTTCATAGGGTCTCTGTGTTCTCTGTCTCTGTATTCTCTGTGTTTGGTTTCTTTTTGCAGCATTTCTGTAGCAGATTGTAAGGTTATTTTTTTATTTAAAGAGCTGAAATATTGAAAATACAAGCTACTTCTAAAATGTGTTTCCACTTTCCAAATTGAGATAACACCTACTTTAAATTTATTACATGATCCCATTCACATAGCATAACTTAAAAATATTTGAAAATTACATCTCAACGTTTTAGATGATCTTTTCTGGAACTTCCAGCAGGATAAAAACCCTGCTTAGTTCTACTTCTTATGATGGTGCTGGGAAGTTGAGGGGCTAGGCTTCTCCACTGTATTTTCATGAGAATTGAACTTAGCTGGACCCCAGCCCAGCTATTAGGATAGATCCAGCCATTCAGCCATGACACTATCTTCTCAGAAACCTCTAAAACGTAAGACATTTTTTTATATTTATTTTTTAGGAGTGCTGTGGGTATTGGAACACATAACAAGCATATAGTGAGGTTTTCTAAATTTGACTGCAAAAGTAGAAATGCACTTTAGGTTCAAATTCTTTTCTGTTTGCTGTGAAGCAAAGTACAGCCTACTTTTCTATGACATTGACTATCGTAAGCTAATGGTACTGTAGTGGAGTGCCCATTTATTCACCATGCTCAAATGTAGGTGCAAACCCTTTAACTCCTTTTCTCATAACGTCCTGGGTTCTTGGACATGACCAGGGAAGGTACATTCCTCAACTTTTCTCCCTTAGGAGTTGAAAGAGGCCACACCTGATGAGGCAGAGGCAGCTTAGAAAGTGTTAATCAACCAAGTGAGAGGCCCTCTACCGTCAAAACTGGCCTGCAGACAGTCAGACAGGAAACTAAAAGCATGCAGCTTCTCTGGAAGACTCAACTACCCAATTATTACTACCCAGTCCCTCCCCAATTATTACCATGATACTCCAGCAGCAGCTGGATGGCCCTTTGTGTCTTGAATACATCCAGCTGTTTGACTGTGTTACCAGAGAGGGATTCTATTTATGAGGAAAATTACAAATTTGTACTCTGAACTATTTTTAAGTAGAAATTCCCAGCTTGATTATCTGTTGTTATAGAATCTATGACTAAGACTATACTGTGCAGCCACATGTTACCGTGATTGAGCCACAGGGACACTTATGTGAAGAGTCCATGTTTGCACAGCTTTCATAATCTGTTTTTTATTATTCTTTAGTGTATACGTGCTCTTTGCCATTCTGAACCTGTTTGAATTACTGTTTCTCTGTCTGAACAGTTGGCTGATTATCTATCCAATAATGTAGGATTATGAGATGATTGAATGATTTTCCTAATTTTGCACATTCGTTATATGATCTTTAGTTACAGTATATGGCAGGGGTATTCAATTGGGCGGTCTGATCAGTAACATTTTCTTACAGCAGAAGTCTGAATCATATTTTTGAGCAATGACTCATATCCTTAACATCACAGCCCTCTCCTCCTATATTACAATCCCATTTTTATATCACCCATCTGCAGAAACTGCCCCTTCTTACATTACAAACCCCCCACAGTAGTGTGCTCTGCCCCTTCACATCCTCCCACAGCACTGCCCCTTCACATCCCCTCAACAGCAGCACTGTCCCCCTTCACATCCCCCCAACAGCACTGTCCCCCTTCACATCAACTTCCCCCCCCAACAGTAGTGTGCTCTACCCTCTTCAAATCTCCCCCCCCCCAACAGCACTGCCTCAATAGTGTGGCCACTTAACATCCACCCCCACACAAAAGCACTGCATCCCCTTCACTTCGTTCCCCTTAGAGCACTGCTTCCTTTCACACCACTCACTCTCTTACCCTCTTACCCATAGTAGTGTCCTCTGCCCCCCTTCTCTCTCCTACTTTAGACATAGTGGAGAGTAGGAGGCCGGACAATGGACTGATGATGGGAGCAGGAGCTGCTGGAGTTAACTTTCCATATTAACCAGCAGATGATTGGTTGCTCCTGTAATAATAACAGCGGTGGAGGCCGGGGAAAAAATGGCGCAATGGCAGCAGTCTGGATGGGACAATGGCTTGGCCAGGATCCAGATCACAGTCGGTCATTTTGGTTAGATGATCGTACCAAATATGTTGCATGTGACCTACCACCCTTTGCTTGCTCAACAGCCTGTAAACAAGTACAGGAGATGTGTAAGGAACAGGGGAATGTGATCATACTTGATAAATGCTTAAAGTAGAATAAAAGGCAGAACCTCTTTTCACTTTGGATAGTGTAAGGGAGAGTTATCTCCCCTGTCAGTTTGTTTTGCCATCTGTGTCCCAATGGGGAGCATTTCTTTAACTTCCTGTCCCATAGCCAAAATAGGAAGTGAAAGGAAATTCCTTTGGGGACAACCCAACATTTTTGATTTTCCTTCTCTTTCATTTTCGGTGATAACAGTAAACATGACAAATAGAGAGCGTGAATCTCCCTAACCGGGGCACAGACAGCAATGAACACTCGGTGCTTTAATCCATCTCCACTCTATCCAAAACTAAAGTTTTGCCTTTAAACACACATGTTTACAATTGTAATAAACTCTTCTGCTAACCTCTTCTCTATCAGTTCTTAGTGGTACATAGTCTTGTGAATAGGAAATATGATTTGCAGAGTGAATGGTTATATGCATATTCTCTTCCCTCTAAATTGCACATGTGCTTTCTTTAAAGAATCCTACTCTACCTCCATTAATAAAATTGCAGATATAATTTTTTTTAAATACCCTTTTGGGGGGGCACAACCCATGCTTCTGCTTTTATCTCTGAAGCAAGAATAATGTCCCCAGCTGCCCAAAGCCTCTTAGGATAAGCACGGGCACGCATTCCAGAAGGTGGTGGGTGGTAATTAGAAACACACTGCACATGTGTAGATCCATGTCATCAAGAAGTCAGCTGCAAGAAACCAGAAGGGACAGCTGGCTTCTGATGGCCCAAGCAAGAAAAGATGGCAGCACGAGACTCAGAGTGTGTGGTCTTCAGCAGAGTACAGCAGGACAATGCTTGATTTGCTGGAGATTTGAGAATGTGTTTTGAGGATAATCCAGCAAACCAAATAAGAGAGGAAAGCTGCAGGTGGTGTGAGGTTCTCCTCTAATTCTCCTTCTCTTTATGTGACTTGCCTTTACCTCTGTACCTTTATCATCTGCCCTTCACACTTAACTGCACAAATGGATTGTTATAGTTTTATTATTATGTATATATAGTACAGTTTAGTATATTTTTTAAATCTTTTACTAACTTCCTTTCAGGTTTACAATCGCCTTGATAAAAACTGCTGTGGCTTTAGACCTCGAAAAGAAGATACCTGTGTCCAAAAAGGCCTACACCTAAAATGTGATGACTCCCAGAACATTGACCTAACACACATTGTACAAAGGAAATATGACCCTCGGCACTTGGTCTTCATTAAAAATAAAGGATATTTTGACAGGAGTGAAGATAATTTGAATTTCAAGTTACTTGAAGGAATCAAAGAGTAAGCATCTCATGCAAACGTAATGTAAACTGTTCATTTATTATCTTTAATAATTCTCCCATCTTCTTCTCCCCAGTCTTGTCTACCTTCACTAGTGATTTTATTTTGCAGCGAGCAATCAGCTTTCTCTTTCCAGCCAAGGTAGACTTGTCTCTCAGGGTGTGGTAGATACTACACTATATTGCCAAAAGTATTTGGACTCCTGCCTTTACACGCACATGAACTTTAATGGCATCCCAGTCTTAGTGCATAGGGTTCAATGTTGAGTTGGCTCACCCTTTGCAGCTATAACAGCTTCAACTCTTCTGGGAAGGCTGTCCACAAGGTTTAGGAGTGTGTCTATAGGAATGTTTGACCATTCTTATAGAAGCGCATTTGTGAGGTCAGGCACTGATGTCGCACAAGAAGGCCTGGCTCACAGTCTCCACTCTAATTCATCCCAAAGGCGATCTATCGGGTTGAGATCAGGATTCTGTGCATTCCAGTCAAGATCCTAAACCCCAAACTCGCTCATCCATATCTTTATGGACCTTGCTTTATGCACTGGTGGTGTGGTGTGCAGTCGTGTTGGAACAGAAAGCGGCCATCCCCAAAGTGTTCCCACAAAGCTGGGAGCATGAAATTGTCCAAAATGTCTTGGTATGCTAACGCCTTAAGAGCTCCCTTCACTGGAACTAAGGGGCCAAGCCCAACCCCTGAAAAACAACCTCACACTATAATCCTCCTCCACCAAACTTTACACTTGGCACAGTCAGGCAAGTACCGTTCTTCTGGCAACTGCCAAACCCAGACATGTCCAGCAGATTGCCAGGCAGAGAAGCGTGATTCATTACTCCAGAGAACACATCTCCACTGCTGTAGAGTCCAGTGGCAATGTGCTTTACACCATTGCATCCGACGCTTTGCATTGCACTTGGTGATGTAAGGCTTGTTGTACTAATCTGAAGCCCACAGGAAGTTTGGACAGCTTTAGCTATTGAGTCGGCAGACAGTTGGTGACTTCTGCGCACTGCGCTTCAGCATGCGCTGACCCCGCTCTGTCATTTTACGTGGCCTACCACTTCGAGGCTGAGTTGCTGTTGTTCCCAGTTGCTTCCACTTTGTTAATAACGCCACTAACAGTTAACCGTGGAATATTTAGTAGCAGGGAAATTTAACGGATGGACTTATTGCACAGGTGGCAACCTATCACGGTACCACACTTGAATTCACTGAGCTCCTGAGAACGATCCATTCTTTCATAAATGTTTGTAGAAGCAGTCTGCATGCCTAGGTGCTTGATTTTATGCACCTCTGGCCATGGAGGTGATTGGAACACCTAAATCCAATGATTTGGAGGGGTGTCCCAATACGTTTGGAAATATAGTGTATAAATAGGTAGATTAATAAAATGAGAGCTAGGCACATAGTGACAGATGGCCAGCACCTAGAAGCTATAATCTCTCTTACCTCACCACTTACTTGCTTAGTGTCCACAGGAGAGTGGGTGTCTCCTTCCTCTCTGTAGATTTTTACATGAATTTAAATATTTCTACTATTAACAGCTAGTGATAGATTCACACCTAATATTTACACGCTATATTCACTCAGGGCCCTGTTTTTGAGGCCAGGGCATTCCTTGCAGAGTTATCTGGACCAGAGCTGTGGCAGTGTTCTCCTGTTCTTATTTCCTGATTTATCACTTGTTGTGAGCTACTAATGGATCTCTTGGCTGTGTAGGGTAATTATTTTCTGAGGATTTATGTCTGGTAGCAGCAGATGTAGCTGGCTGTTCATTGTGTATGGAGGACATAAATTCTTGTCCTTGTCTTTACTTTTCCCTTAGCTTAGCAAGTGGTTTAGTATTTTTTGTATGTACTGTATATGGATTTCATCCTTTTAACTTCGCCCTGGGTCTGTATGTGTGCACATGTTTGGTGGCCAAGTACTGTTCTGCTCAACCCACTATTTGACATTTGCGCTGGCCAGAACCTCCTCATACTTCATGGTTAGGGTCTACTGCATGCGTACACACTAGGCATCCTTGCAGCACAGTGTTTTCGAATTACACTCACTGGCCACTTTATTAGGTACACCTTACTAGTACTGGGTTGGACCCCCTTTTGCCTTCAAAACTGCCTTAATTCTTCGTGACATGGATCCAACCAGAGATTTTGGTCCAAACTGACATGAGTTACTGTTGCCTTTCTATCATCTGAAACCAGCCTGTCAATTCTTCTCTGACCTCTGACATTTTCGTCCACATAACTGCCGTTCACTGGATATTTTATGTTTTGGACCATTCTCTGTAAACCGTAGAGATGGTTGTGCCTGAAAAACCCAGTAGATCAGCAGTTTTTAAAATACTCAGAACAGCCGTCTGGCACCAGCAACCATGCCACATTCAAAGTCACTTAAATCCCCTTTCTTCCTCATTCCGATGCTTGGTTTGAAATTCAGCAAGTTGCCTTCCCCACATCTAGATGTCTAAATGCACTGAATTGCTGCCATGTGATTGGCAGTTTGTGTTACCAAGCAATTTAACAGGTGTACCTAATAAAGTGGGTGTATATATACCGTTCACCTAGTGTTTTAGGCTAAACCACCTGATTTTGTCAAACACATTGTCTCTGTAAGACCTCCAGCAGCTTTATTGCAGGTATGTTTACTCATTTTTTTGCCCAATAAAGTCTGAGTGTGCAGATGCTGAGGGAAATGCTGTGGTGACCAGTGGGGAAGCGGTACGGGATGTAGCTCCTTACATTTGTATCCACAATGTGATGATGGCAGATGCCAGTGTACAGCTTCTTTGAACTCACTTGAATGCCATAGTTGCAGCCTGTACTGGATTTTTTTAAATGGGGGGCACATGATCTGCGTGCTCACTAATAGAAGGAACACATGGCTCATTTACAGGCTGTAATATGGCTCAATTTTAGCACAGTGTGCTTTGAGTTTTTTATTGCAGCAAATTATTAGTTGCAATACACAGCTTCAATTCAGGCATTTGAAGGGACAAAATGTGCCTTTTGGCTACTTACATATCACATTTTGAATTGTCTTCATCAGCGGTCATTTCCTATCTACCGTTTTTCTTCATCAAGTGCTCATTCCATTTTCTTTATCCAAGTGGAGGTATTCGCTTCTATTATGCAGGATTTGTCTTATTGCTTCTCTGACCACAGAAGCTTAAACCACCCACTGCCATCTTTCTCAGAGGAATCTACCCCAGAAATGCCTAATATTCCTGTTTGTGTCAGGGATCCTCTAGAGGATCATTTGTTGCATGAAATGCAGAGCTGCATTTCCCATTAGACAGTGTAGGCATGTGCCTACAAGTACAGGCGCCCTTCCTAGAGGGGTGCCTCTCTGTCTCCAGGGATTGGCGTGCAAACTGATGGGGTGTGCAGCCACAAAGAGATAGAGTGCAGCTGTCAACTCCAACCTGTGGTGTCGGGGATGGGTGGGGCGATATGCATTTCAGAGGCTCCGCTCCCTTTGTCAACGAGCCAGTGCATAGACAAATAATCGGCATTCAGACATTACTGCCGGGGAAGAAAGTTTTAAGGGGCAAGACCAATTGTAACTTCTGCATGTGCACCTGGAGCATTGTACAATAAACCTGAATTATACACCACTGCGGGTGCACATGTAGTAGTTGCAATTGATCCTGCCGCCTGCCACCTTTTTACCAGCTGGCACTGTATAAATGGCGTCTGTTTCCCTATAAAGGGGTTGTTTGACAAAGGAACGCATATTGGCCCTACCCATCCCGCAACATCACAGGTTGGAGTTGACAGCTGCACTCTCTCTCATTGCAGCCGTACCCCCGCCGGCTTGCCTGCCAATCCTTTACTGTATTGGATGTTCACACTGCTGCATGTCCAGCTCGGCTGTACTCATTTGTTATCCATCTGACGCCTGCATTCTTGCCTCGGCTCCTGTATGCTATTAATCAAGGTTTTTAGAATATAAATGTTCTATGTTTAATTCATTGGTGTCTTTAACTAACTCCTGAACCTTGCACTCTGTACATAGCACATTCCTGAACCCTGCACTCTGTATGTAACACATTCCTGAACCCTACACTCTGCACGTAATGTGTTCCTGAACCCTGCACTCTGTACATAGCACATTCCTGAACCCTACACTCTGTATGTAACGCATTCCTGAACCCTACACTCTGCACGTAACGTGTTCCTGAACCCTGCACTCTGTATGTAACGCATTCCTGAACCCTACACTCTGCACGTAACGTGTTCCTGAACCCTGCACTCTGTATGTAACGCATTCCTGAACCCTACACTCTGCACGTAACGTGTTCCTGAACCCTGCACTCTGTATGTAACGCATTCCTGAACCCTACACTCTGCACGTAACGTGTTCCTGAACCCTGCACTCTGTCAGTAGCACACTCCTGAATCCTGCACTCTGTACCTAGTACATTCCTGAACCTTGCACTCTGTACCTAGTACATTCCTGAACCTTGCACTCTGTACCTAGTACATTCCTGAATCCTGCACTCTGTACCTAGTACATTCCTGAACCCTGCACTCTGTACGTAATGCATTCCTGAACCTTGTATTCTGTCAGTAGCGCACTCCTGAGTCCTGCACTCTGTACATAATACACTCCGGAATCCTTCCACACTTTGTGTAACACACTCTTCCAGTTTGTGCAAAACCGTTTGTAATGGAAGCAATTTATTTTTATTTTTTTAATGTTTGTGCTGTCCGTGAAACTCTTGCTTGTGGCACAGCAATCATAGCATATTTTATAGGTACAAGGAAGCCCTGGTTTTGTTTAACCATGCCTCTTAGGCCCCTCCCACTGTTAAGCCAAACATTTTTGCCACAGTGCACTACACATGCCATAGGTCACTTCCTCCAGCAAGTGTGCCTCATTCTGAAGTTCAAAAGTTGGGAGGTATAGTTTAGCTGCTTCTGCTCCCCCCCCCCCCCCCAGCTCTGCTCTGTGCACAGGCTTGTACAACACAATGATGATACTACTGTTACCTTCACAAGGTAATATCTGAGTTTGCACAGGCATTTGGTGCATATAAAATGGATTTCTCTATCTTTTTTTTTAACCATGCTCCTTAAGCTGCTCCCACTGTTAAGCATTTGGCCACACCCATTTTTGCCATGGCACATTATGCGCACCGCAGGCTGCTTCCTCCCTCAGTTGTCCTCATTCTGAAGTTCAGATGTTGGGAGGTATAGTAAGAGGAGCTCTTGGGACTCTTGTGTAAGGAGGGGGTCCAGTGACCAGAGACCCCCTTACATCAGAGTTCCCCCTTTACATGACAGTCCGCAGTGTTCCCCTTTACATTAGCGTTCGTAGCATTCTCCTTTACACATATAAAAATATTTATATAAAAATCTTTTGTCAAGAAAAAAAAAAGTAGTTCTTACTGTCTTTTTTTGGGGGCAGGGGTGCACTTCAGAATTCACTGTCTATAGGCTCCTGAGATGTAAATCCAGCCCTGATGAGATGTCCTTCTCCCCCCAAGAGGAGGTGTCCCCAGCAGCTGAATTTTCCCCTACCGTAATATCTCAGGTTGCCTATTCTTTTGTGGCATCTGACCTTCAACCCATGATCCCCTTTGCACTAATTTCCCAGACTTTAGCTGAGTGGTTTAAATTGCTAAAAAGCCATCTGGTGGCAGCTAGTGTTGATTCCTAGCTTGCCACTTGCTTTGTCAGATGATTATCGAGTTGATATTTTGTACAATGTAGCGCTGGATACTAGCCATGTTATATCTCCCAAAGGGTAACCTTTTGCTCTGTTCAGATTTTGCGTGACAGTGGGCTCCATTAACAAAGTGGCATCTTACTGCATCTGAGTATGCGGTAAGATACCGCACAGCGTTTTTCAAAACATTTTTGACCACTCACTAAAAATACTACTAATATACTGCTTTATTATTATTATTATTATTATACAGGATTTATATAGTGCCAACAGTTTGCTCAGCGCTTTACAATATAACAGGAGACAATACAGCAGCAATACAGTTCAATACAAGAGGGTTAGGAGGCTCCTTGGAGCTTGCAATCTAAGAGGGAGGGGATAGTGGTACAAAAGGTAATAACTGTGGGGGATGGACTGGTAGAAGGAATAGAATATTCCATTATTAGCTGAGGGCAGGATACACTTCCCTGAAGAGATAGGTTTTCAGAGATCGCCTAAAGTGAGCAGAGTAGGTGATAGTCTGATAGATTGGGGTAGAGAGTTCCAGAGGATGGGGGGGAAGCTCTGGAGAAGACCTGGAGATGAGCATGGGAGGAGGAG